TATATATATATATATGTCACAAATGGAAAAGTCCCAATCAAGGAAGCAACATATATCATTTACAAATGACTTAAAAAGCATTAAAAATTACAATAATTACCAATTTAAAATATTTAAAAGCTATATAATAAAATAGGTTTACTCTCAGAATTCTATCAGGCTCACATATATTGGGACAAAAAAAATAACACGTATCATTTTAAAATTACCAAAAAAGTATTATAAATAATAATAATTAACAACTTAAAATATCTGAAAGACATTTTAAACGGGTTAATTTTGTAATTTTATCCATATCACATAAATTAGGACAAAGTGACCAGTAATCTACGTTACTTGAAAGTTACATAAAAATATTATAAATCACAATAATTAATAACTTAAAACATTTTTAAAAAAAATATGAAAATTTGGATGAGTCTCCAAATTTCATTTGTGTCACATAAATTGAGACAACAAAAATAACATATATTGGGTCCATTTTAATTTATTTGTCTTATTTTTATTTTTTTATATTTAAAAATTGCGTAAAAATACTATAAATCATGATAATTGACAATATAAAATATGTTTTGAAAAAAATACAAAAAATTCCACTGATTCTTGAAGTGAATCTATCGTAAAAATACTATAAATCATGATAATTGACAATATAAAATATGTTTTGAAAAAAATACAAAAAATTCCACTGATTCTTGAAGTGAATCTATCGTAAAAATACTATAAATCATGATAATTGACAACATAAAATATTTTGAAAAATGTTGTATGTGAGTAGTCTTATTATGTCTTAAATAGCGTCAAAGAAAGTACATGTTTCTGATAAAAAAACTTATTTCTTTATCCACGTAAACAATCGCTTCAAAAAACTCGATTATTAGCCCAAAACATACCATTTATATTATTATTATGCACGGGCCACATTATCTAGTATAATAATATGCACAATCTCTTCTTCCCGTCGAGTATGAATTTTTTTGTCAAAAAATTAAAATCATAAATCTTTTTTATACAATGTCATGACTTCAAATGTAAGCCTAGTATATATTAGGGACCAAATTAGTCTAACCCATGTACACTAAAGGACCATTTTGATAATTTTTCTCCACGTAAATCCACATATCAAACGGGCAGGTTAATAGTGCTGACCGTGAAACAAAACGTGGCATTGGCGGGTAAAAATTCATGTTTATCTGCAATTTTTTTGAAATTCATTCGAAAAAATTCCCCTTTTTTATTTTTCGCTCCAGATCTACCCGCGCTTTTCCAAAAGAATTTTCCCGCAAAATTTTGCAGTTGTATTTTCCGAATCTGACTAATATGTTCCATTGCACCACACCACTCTTTATTCAACTGTTTTTGTTCACAAATTTTTTCTCTCTTCAAAGCACAAACAAAACCTACTGATAACTTCCATGGCGGCCGTGAAAGAAACCCTAGAAGAGAAGAAGCACGAAAAGGAATCAATTGAGAAAGAGGAGAAGGCGAAAAAGAGTAGCGAAGAAGAAAAAGAGAGTGCAGAGGAAATGGACGTAGACAAAGAAGATGAGAAGGTGAAGGAAGAAGTTGTGAAGAAGGTAGAAGATGGAGGTGTAGAGAAAGAGGAGGAAGGGAAAAGTGATGATGCGATTTCGCCCAAAACACCAGGTTCCAGGCCGACGAGGGAAAGGAAAACAGTGGAGAGGTATTTTGAGTCTCTGATTGCTAGAGGATCTGCAACCAAACCCTTGTCCATTGAGAAGGTATAATTCTAAATTTTCTGATTTTGATAATTCACATGCTTCGTTTTCATAGAGATAAAAGAGTGATCTTATTTGCTATTCATCTTTATGTTAGTACTAATTAATGAGAGGCAAGTTTTTTTATTAGGTTTAATAATTTGATCAATTATGCTTCAATCTCAAACAAACTAGCTATGATTGCTAAATCCAAGTGTAAAACTGATTATATAAAGGAAAAACTTGCCAAACTAGTAATGTTATTGCTAAGTTTAGCAATCTGCCTCTGTTCCGTTTCGGGTTTTTGTGATTCGTTTAATCTTTTGAGGTAGATCGCAAAATGTACAGTAAGATCTGGTCATATGAAAAGTATAATCACTGATGTCCCATGTGACTAAGGAAATCAAGGAAAAAATAGTTATGCACCAACATTAATGCACATTCCCTTATAATCATGCATACCCCATTTGTTATTCTCTTGCATGTTTCTTGGTTCTGTCTATTGGACAAGCGCTATTGAAATGTCTTGTTTCAATTTTTACCAGAAATGTTACTAGCATTTGTTATATTTTTGGGGATCCCCTCATATTATTCTGGTGATTAAATGCAGGGTCAAGGTACACAGCTGAAGGACATCCCAAATGGTACATTTTCTTTTATTTATTCAGCCACTTTTTCCCTTTATTGGTGTCAGCCTTTTCTTCTTTTTGTTTTTATGTATATTATCAAGGTTATCTTAGAGAAATTAATTAGGTTTAGTTATACCAGTTAACAAATATTCACTGAGTGTGTAACATAACAACATGCTTCTTGTGCCAACAAAATCCTTGTGTTTGATTGTTGTATTGTCAGTTTGTGCTGGTTGCTACTTATATTTTGCAGCAGCTGCCTGTGTTTCTAACATGAATAATGAACATTGCTAGGTTATTGCTTTGTTTCATTTATCTGGTTTATGTTTATTTCTTTAGAAGAGGAGGGGTTGGATCTTATGATTCTGTTATTTAAATTCTTCTGCTGTACCCTTCACTTTTTTTAATAGCCATATGAGCATAGGTGAGTATATATTCATTGTTGTAAAATAGGTGTGCCTAATGAATTCCATTTGATACACTGGAACAATGAACAACCTAGCTGAACTACGGCTGTTTTTTTTTCTTTCCATATAAGAGGTATCATCTTTGTTAGCAAAAAATAAAGAGGTATGATTTTGTAAAAGTTTATTTTTGCATATCTGGCAACACAGATTGGTTACCAGCTAATACTCAGATTGACTGATTGTTGGCTGCATAATTTTCATATTTGATGCCAACATTTTTATGTACTAGCAAATTTTGAAGCATTTTTTTTTGTTGTGCTTGTGAAATTTAATTTTTGTGGCTGCTTTATATATGTTTGATCTTTTGGTTGAGTAAATTTGGGGAAATGCATTGTGCAATGATAATTCCACTGACAACTATTGTATTGTGTAATATTTCAGTGGCATATAAGTTGTCCAAGAGAAAACCGGATGACAACCTGCAGATACTGCATAGCATTCTTTTTGGCAAGAAGACAAAGGTCATACTCTTCTTCACTCTTGCATTCTATTAAGCCCTAAAACATTCTATTTCAACCCACAACTGTATTGTTTGGGTTATGGTAGTATTGCTTCTTAATCATGCTAGTGTTAAATAACGTCCTTCCATTTGCAGGCACATAATTTGAAGAAAAACATAGGGCTGTTTTCTGGATATGTTTGGGTTGAAAATGAGGTAGTTAGTCTCTCTGCTTTGCTATATCTTGTTGATTCCTTGGTGATGTGACATATGTGCATGGAATATGCAAGTATTAACATCGAGTGACTTTATGATATGTGAATGACATGTATTTTGTGTAATGTTTCTCTCTTTCTCAAGCAGGAAAGACAGAGGGTAAAAATCAAAGAGAAGCTTGACAAGTGTGTCAAAGAAAAGCTACTGTTTTTTTGTGATATACTCAATATCCCAGTTAGTAAATCTGCAACAAAGAAGGCATGTATTATCAATGTGTTTGCTGTGTGCTCTATTACAGAAAATATATGTTCTGCTAATTATTATTGTTGCATATTTCAATTTGCAGGATGAGCTCTCTGTGAAGTTATTAGACTTCCTGGAATCTCCTCACAGTACAACTGATTCTTTGCTTGCTGAGAAGGAACAGGTACAGCTGATCCTGCATTTGCTGCTTCCTCTTTTTTCATAGTGCCACTTTTTGTTATGACTTTGGTACACTTAAACCATATGTTTATTGTAATGTAGTTATTCCTTTTATTATGTTTCATTTTGATCTCAGAAGAGTAAGAAGCGAAAATCAAAGGGAAAAACTTCCAAAAGCACAGGTTCCTTGGACAAACCTGCAGGAAAGTCAGCAAAGGTTAGCTCTCTTTTAACATCTTCATTCTCTTTGAAAGCCTGATACTGTAATACTGTAACAAATTTGCAGTTTATAATGTTATTACTCCTAACTTCACAGTAATGGTTTATGTATACTTATTTTTTGGCACCAAATGGTGTTGCATGCCAATCAATTCCCATAAAAGGCAAAAGAATTAGCATTTACATCATTTCTTCTCATCTTCTTTAAGTCTTGGGGGTAGAGTTGCTCCAAATTTGTATTGAAGGAGGATGCAAGTATTTGTTGCAATAGTTGGAGTATGTGCAAAAGTGTGGCCACCACTGTTGTCCAAAAAAACAAATTGAGAACTTTTAAATTACTATTGTCCCAAAAGAAGAAAAGGAAATGATAAGTTTCTTTGCAGACATGATTATAGCCATAGGAATAGAGACTCCCATTTTCTTGTTCTTCCAACACACCATTGTTCTTCCCTTTTTTCGGGCCCTTTCCTCAACATTCTTCTCAGGAACACTTTCATGGAGAGATAACAGACATGCTCACTACTCCAAGTGATGCTCCTGCTGCTTGTGGGAAGTGATAAAGAAAAGGGAAGAAGAGTTTAGAGTCAATGACTACCAGGAAAATTGATTATCAGTAAAGGCTGCCTTTACCCAACATAAATGATCTTATGTTCCCCGTATAGGTATATAACCAAAAGAATGACATCAGTTTACATCTGAAGTGGTACAATAATTATTAGGGTTTTAAGACTATTTAGTGGCGGTATCACTGTCTAAAGATACCTTTATTATTTTGAAATTTGTATGTACTTCTTCAATGCATATTGGAATTAACAGCTACTAATAATAGTATGTAATCTAATGCGTATAGAGTAAGTTGATACATGTCTTTTTAATTTTGCCAGTTGCAGATTGCGTGATTATAATGTGCATTGAGAGAAAATTATACTTGTTTCCTTTGCTTTAAACATTGTTTTCACAAGTTGAGTCTGTAATCAGCCATAAATAGTTGGGCACATTTTCAAATTTAAGCTGTTGTTTTTCCTGCAAATGCCCGTCATATATCTTACTGAAAAAGTAATTCTTCTCTTATGTTCAATTCAAAGCAGAAGCATCAGAAACCAAAACTAGAGGAAGATGAAACTGATGAGGAGCCATCAAGTACCAGAGATGAATCCGGTGCTGACAATGATGATGAGGAAGCCAATGAAGTAGGAAGTGATCATGAAGAGAGTGGTTCAGAAAAAGAGGAAGAAAAAAATGAAGAGCAAGAGGCAGAGGAAGAGAAACCAAAGAAAAAGAAGTCCAATGGGAATGTTTCTTCAAAGAAGGATTCTGGAAACAAAGTAACAGAGAAGCCCAAGGCTGTGAAAAAGGATAACCCTGCTAAATCCCCTAAAAGCATGACTAAATCTACCAAAGTGTCTTCAAGTACAGCTTCCAAAAGAGGTGCTTCTGGTGCTGATTCACTAGTTACACCTAAGAAACAAAAAGTTGAAAAGAAAAGTCAAAAAGAAGACAATGAGTCAGTGAAGGAAAATGCTTCAAACAAGAAAAAATCAACCAAGACTCCTGCTAAGGTTTCTGAAAAGGAAGGTGAGTAACTTTCTGTTTATTCATTGGTGATTCAATATATGCACTTTTATTCATCTTTTATTGAGGTAAAAAACCTATATTTTATGTTCTATTTTTGAGGTATTTGTTTGAGATGGTGTTTCATCATACAATATGGAGTGATCCTTTCAGTATTTTGAATCAACTAAAATGATGCACCATTCCATTCAGCCTCTTTTAATATCTTGGTGATAATCCAATATCTTATTCTCACATAATATTTATTTAGGGATTAATATACAAGGTAATCACAACTCTTAATCTCTTATTAGTCTTATATATCTATCATTTGAAAAGTTTTTCAAAATCTTCTGGAATAGGAAAAGGAATAAGTGGCATGAAGGCCAAGGCAGAGCCCAGCAACGAAGAAATTCATGCAGCAGTTGTAAATATTCTGAAAGAAGTGGATTTTAACTCTGTAAGTGATATCTTGGTGTGTTAAATACACAAGAACATGAACTTTATTTACTAATCAGGTTTGTTGTACTCTTCAAAATGCAGGCAACTTTATCTGATATCATCCGAAATCTAGGTATGACCTAAGGAGACTCTTGTATTGCTTGTTCTTAAAGAAGTTTGATAGTACTGATCTCATTTGGTGATTAACCGTGTATCTGGTGTTCATTACAGGTAGCCATTTCGGTGTAGATTTGATGCATAGGAAAATAGAGGTGAAGGCTATCATCACTGATGTAATAAATAACATGAGTGATGACGAAGAAGGGGATGACCCTGAGGCTGAGAATGATGAAGAAAACAATGAAGGGGATGACCCTAAGGCTGAGAATGATGAAGAGAAAAATGAAGGTGATGATAGTGATGCTTAATTTATGAGTCTAGTAGAAGGATAGGTTTAAGGTTTTATACATCTTGTTAGTAGTTTTTATTTATATTAGCTGGATTAAGATGGTGACCCCGATGGGTTCGTATATAAGGCATTTGTTTTGCCTTTGCTTGTTCTAGAGTTAGTCTTTGCATTTCTTTTATAGCAACAGTATACCATCTGATGCTGAATATCATAGTTATCAATTTCTTGTATTTATGTTGCTGCACTTCTCTTTGCTTAATATGTGAATCTGCAGATGCTTAATGTTGATATTTTCAGTTGTATAATTGTATTCAGCAAAATGTGACAACATCGTATAATCCCCTATTAAGATGTTTTTTTTCATTCTCAAGACTTGAACATTGAACACCGACTCGACCTTTGATTAAGTTTGTATGAATCTTTTTAATCTACCACAAACCTTTGTGGTCATAACTTGTCTAGATGAAGCACTACCCTTATCTAGCTATTAGAAAAAGACTACATAAGAACACAACATATTATTCACTGCAACTAAATAGTAACCCACAATTTTGTGCAATTTACTTGCACTACATACATATTTAAAAAGACACATACTTCTCATAGACAGTTAATTAGAAGTTACAACTATTGAGCTTGAGCATTCTTGGTGTAGTGAGAAGCCCATAAGAGCCATAACCCTTGCCCATTTCTCCATGTCCCAACACCCTAGCTGGACTAAATGGGCTGCATGAGGCAAGCCCACACCCAGGCCTATTAATCTCTTTCTCACTATCCATCTGACCCAATATTTTGTGAAATAGATTAACATCACAAGGTAGCAAAATAGGTCCTTGGCTACAATAACCATATTCCATTTCAGCATCTTCAAGCAACATCTTGAACAATGGATGGTTTGCATATTTGGCCTTGATTGTAAACTTCTCTTTCTCTGGCCCAACATATACACAAAAACAGCCTTGCGGTGCTAGTACTACTGGACTCTTTGCTTTGGTACTACTATGCCATGATTTGCTCTTGGACAACATCATTGTTCGACTTCCTTTCTTCATCAATAAATATCCCTCCAATTTCTTGAGTATCGACGAGTTTGAATTCTTCTTCCCCTTAACCATTTCCATATCCATTCACTTTCTCAAGAGCTCAAATGAAAGGAGCAAGCAAAAAAAGAAACAAAAAATAATAATAAAAAAGTTTTTCGGTTATAATTGTTTGGATATGTAGTTGTGGATTTATCCTCTATCATAAGCTAAATTTAGCATAAACCTAGATTTTATTCTAGTTGGATTACTCATAGTTTTGAGTATCCAAATAAGAGAAAAGAATTCTTGAGAACTTGTGGTGAAGAAGGCATGAAAAGAAAAGGAAAAGAGAGTTGTGAGTTATAGGTTACTAAGAGACCAATTTATATATATGAAAGGTCACTTAAGTTACATAAAGCCATACCCAAATAGATACTGCTACTTACTATTTATTATTATATTATACACTTGCAATAGTCAACGGTGATAAAAGCCTTTAGTTTAAAGAAGGGCATTGTTATCAACAAAAGGATACATGACGAAATGGACAGGACCACTAATTTTTTTAATCAAAAATTCCGAATTCGAGCCTATATATGAAAAGTTCTTGATAGAAAATATTTAATTATTTCAAGTGAACGCTGTACTAAGCAAATTCAAATTAATCGAGCTCTGCCATACATGCAGGGCATCAAAAAATAAAAGGGAAAAAAAGAAGAGCATTGTTTATTAAAATCCAATGGGGACAAAAGAGATGGCCAATTTCAGTGTATTCAACATCATAGGAGTAAATGACAAATGATTGATCAAATATTAAATTATTTTCCATAAACCAACATTTTTGTTATGTCATTCACTTTCATTTTTTATTGTTTTGACTATTCCATAAATGGAGTACGTAGTTGTTGAGACGGCAACGTAAAAGAACGTGTCTGATTTGAGTAGCATTAATTTTTGGACGTTTTATTATTTTCCAGACTTTAACTTAATGTTGATCTAAAAAGATTACCTCAGCTAATTAATTACTACTCGCATTATTTTAGTTCAATTATTCATGCATCCATTTGAATTTTGGTCCCATTACAAGAAGTCTTTTTCAAGTTTTAATTCTACAAAGTTCTATATAAAATCTAGGCTTGATTATTGTGAACTATTATATTCCATCTCTTTTTCTTATATATTTTTGAGTTGAGGGTCCATTGCAAACAATTTCTTTACCTTGTAAAAATAGAGATAAAGTTTATATATATATATAAGTATATAAAGATTACCTCAGCTAATTAATTACTACTCGCATTATTTTAGTACAATTATTCATGCATCCATTTGAATTTTGGTCCCATTACAAGAAGTCTGTTTCAAGTTTTAACTCTACAAAGTTCTATATAAAATCTAGGCTTGATTATTATGAACTATTATATTCCGTCTCTTTTTCTTATATATTTTTGAGTTGAGGGTCCATTGCAAACGATTTCTTTACCCGGTAAAAATAGAGATAAGGTTTATATATATATCCTATCTTTTTGAATTCATATATGAAATTACGCTGAATATATTGTTGTTGTTGTATATTTCACGTTAACTTCTATACATTCACAGTGTTAAAAAATCTTGTAAAAGATGATATAATAAAATTCTTTAATTTTCTTAGTGTATACAAATTGAATCTACATTATTATGTTGCTATTCTAAAGTATATTACAATATTCAATTTTGAAAACTCAGACGGAGTTGACACGTAATAGTCACAATTTTAGTTTATTCTTGTTTTGGCCATTATATATCTTTTCTTCACGTTTATAATTAAAAAAAATATATAAAAAAATATGCACGAATGAAATTGATGAAAGCATGACAGTTTTTGTTAGTTTTATTGAGAGCTAGTCAACAGGCACGGCGGCTTATTATAGAGTAGGTTTAATTTGCAATTTGTTTTAAGTTATGCAGAGGCCGAACCATGATTTCAATTTAACGGGTCCTAAAATTTATATTTATATATATTTAATAAAATTTATTTTTAAGGCAAAATTTATTAAATTCGATCAAATCTTATTCGAGTTTTCAGGAAGATAGTGTGTAACATCTTGCTTGTTTTGAGAAGAAAAATAAATAGTTGATTACCTAAGGATTAGACAATGAGAGCCCACTTTTATTAAGAAAACAAGTGGTAGTTGATTATGTAATTACATACCCCAACATGTATTAAGCTTGATTTCATATTTTGGGAGTGGTTTGATAAGAATGGGTGAAACTAATCACACCAGATAATAGGTTTTAAGTTTGAGTCTCATTGTCATTTATTATTCAGAAGAATTTTGGCACATTTGATTTATCTAAAAAGATATAATTAAATACTAATAAAAGTGTGATAAATTCATGTTTAATTATTTGTTAGTTGGATTAGATTAGAATCTTACAAAAAGTCAACCAGCTTTTCTCAGGGAGACTTTCAGGTCTTAACTACGCAAATTGCTTTTCATTAAGCCGCCAGTTAAATTTTGTGAAGGTGTGCAAATAGTATTAACTTTTGAGAAATTGTCCTTCCGAAACGTTACATTCGTTTGCTCAATTTTACACATAAAATATTAGATTATTTAATGTTTACAATAATTTATATCAATATTAGAAAGTAAACTTGATATTTGTCATGAGATTTTTAGTTCTATTAAAGGAAAAGTTTAGATCACGATCTAAAAATTTCGTAAGTTGAAAGAAATATTTTTTTTAAAAGAGTCATTTATGATAGGGGTGGGCGTTTGGTTCTTCGGTTCGGTTTTATCAAATTTCGATTCGGTTTTCGGTTTTAGAAAAGTGTGCACCGTATATCAAATCAAATTAATTCGGTTCGGTTTGATTTTTTGTACTTCGATTCGGTTTAGTTCGGTATTTTTAAATCAGTTTTTCGGTGTGAATGAAAAATAAAATAAGGACAAAGTATAAGATACTTAAAAATTTAAAACTATGTTAAAGAATGATGCGTCTCACCGTGAAACACTTATTGTGCTAACTAAAAGACTATATTTGTCTTTATCAAGAACTTGTGCCTCCAACTACTTCTCAATAAAAACAAGTACGAAGAAGGTTCCTTTACTTAATGTACATCGGTAGAAATATGTTTGAGTTTCTCTTGAAAATTAATATTTGAAGTTATCTATTGAATTGTAAATTTGTTGCTACTTTGATTTGTTTCATGAATGATTTAATTGTTAGTTGAATTTTTAATTAAGGAAATGCCCATACTTTAAATATATAAAAAAATTATTTTTAATTTTTAATTTTTTAAAAATAAAAGTTTGGTTCTTCGATGCACCGAAGTTTTGAGACCCTTACACCGAACACCGAACTGAAGAACCGAACTTTTAAAAAAATAACAATGATACCGAAATGAAAAACCGAAGAGCCGAAACCAAAGAACCGAATTAGTTCGGTTCGGTTTGGGTTTTCTGTATTTATGCCCACCCTTATTTATGAAGCAGTTTTCTGCGAAATTTCTGCTTAATTTTCCCTACTTGATGATCCTGCCCATTGATTCCAAAATTCAGACCGGCCCAACCCACTTTTTTGGTCCATTGGGATTTGGGAACGTTCCTTCTGTGTAGCAATATTTTGCAAGAGCATATGTACTCGTATTGGAGTATGGGTATATCAAATTCGCACCGTAAAGAGCCTCATTTGGAGGGACGCGCTCCTTATCAACTGTTACCTAAAGCTCGAACATGAGACCTTTGGTAAAGGGATAAACAACTCCATCCACTACACCATATTATTTGGTGGCAGGTAACTTATTGTTAGACTATGTATATACAATATCTAAAAAAAAAAAACTTATTTTTCAACAATTTTTTAAATAATTTGGTTGGTTAATGAATTTATATTAAATATTAATAATAACATTAACTAATCGGAGACTGTCTTGTAAAACTTTGGAGTTTGGAGTACTAAAATTGATAATACATTTCTTTAATTCCTATCTTTCCTTTTTTTTAATAATTGAAGTTTAAGCTAGCTATTACCTCATTAATGATATCATATGTATAGAAATTTGAATGATACACTCTCCTCTTAATAAAAAAATTGGTCATCTTTATTTTTCTATAACCATTAATTATGTCGTTCCCTTTTCTCCAATAAATGGTTATTCCAACACAAAAATAAATCTAACATATTGTAATTAATCTCAGCTTCAAGTGATGTAAAGTATTTTTTTGCCAAAAAAAACGAAGAATTAAGTTCGATTTAATTTCTCTCCTGATACACTAAAGTTGGATTCCGGACCCAATCCAAAATTAGAGTGAATTAGATCTGCAACTAAAGATAACAAAATTGGGTCGAATGCACCTATCTCACCTTTTGTTTTATTAAAGGTAGGTTTTAACTGTCTTCATGTAAATAATTATTTCAGTGCAAGTTGGTGAGAAGAAATCAATATAATTTACAAATATCAATTGGACTGATTTTGGTGATGAGTCAGGAGTAGTTAGTTTTAAAAAAATAAAAATTGAATTTGGGAGTAAGTTTATCTATATAAGAAAAAACATTGAAAAATGACCCCATACCCATTAATATGAATGTTGAAATCATATTTTTAGTATTTAATTGCATGTTTTTCCCGTCGAATTGTTTGATCTTTAATTTTTGTGTTTTAGCAATCAAACTAATTATGCCTAACAGGATATAAATTTTTTAAAGACATGGAATGAGATATTATGATACAAAATATAAAGTTATGCACACAAATTTATTTTATTCGAGGACAAAAATTAAAGACCACCCTAGGGAAGGGCAAAAGTGCAAATGACCCTATTGTTTCCTTTTAATGTAGATGCTACTCTCTTTTTGTTAATAATCATTTGGATTATGAGGATGATCCTTAGGAAAGCAATTTGATTTCGAAGTCTCATCATCACCATTAGTGACTCCAAAAGAGGCCTTCATTTAACTGCAACCAATGAAAGTCTAATTCATGGATACACAAATATATTGGGTGCATCACATATTGTTAAAGTTACATTATATGTGTTTGATCATACGTACGTAAGATAATTAATCGTGAGCGATATGAAAGTGAAAAAGTCATTATATTATTATTATTATTATTAATAATAATAATAATATTATTTCCAAGATAGTATAGTGGTTACAACGATTTATACTCTAGAGGTCTTTTAATCAAAGCTTTAGAACTTTTTTTTTCTTTTCAATAACTAAATCGCTTAAAAAGAATTTTAAAACTAGGTATCCTAAGGATGTATTTTAGTGGTCAATAATAAAGTTGTCATGAAGTCTTACGTTCAAATGTCACGATAAAAAATATTAGGTCTATTTGTCCAAATTTTGTTGGACAAATCCAGGTACTTGTAGTACTTATATTGATGGTACATACATAGTAGGTATCTCATGAAATTAATTTAAGTACGTGCTAAATGGTTCATACAACAATCAGCAAAATAACAAGCTTTACTTTTATGTTTTTCTATGTCTAATTGGTATTTGGTAAAAGGTGCCCTCCACCCTGTGTTTGACAAATTAAAATTTTCTAACTTATCCATTCTACTTATAATCAATAAATATCCTTGGACAAGACACATATAATAAGATCAGATAATTCAGGAAAAACGATTTTTATATTATAAATAACCATGAAACATACACTAGTACTATAGTAAGAGATTGGCATGAACTCATTTCATATAAAAAGTAGTAACTAAAGTTCAATATAATGCATGTTATCTAAAGGACGTATACTACCATGAAAGTGGAAGATTTCGTAACGAGGGGGTCATGTAATTAATATATAAAACACAATTAGTTGAGATCATTCTTGGTTAATTTTGTCTTCCACTCCCAATTCTTTGTTTTCATGATTACTTCAAAAAGGCACAAAAAAAAGTTGAAATGGAAATCCACGAGTCTCTTGCTTTATGATCTGTTGATATTTATAATCATCCAAAATCCAAAATAATTTTAATTTGTTAAATCGATCTTACACATATATATAATTGGAGAAAAGGGTTATGGTCTGTGGGAATCTTTCTTTTGAGCCATATTGTCTAGTGGCGAAGCAATAATTTTTGTTAAGGGTGTTTAAGATTTAATATATATGTATGAAAAATAATTTTTAATCCATATATAATATATATACTGTTGTTCATCTTGTATTCCTAAGATACTTCGAACAAAACTTTGAAGAACTTGGTAAGACACAATAAAGTTTAAGAACATTTTCACAACTAGAAAATTAAAACTAGTAGAGAAACTAGAATCAGAAACAGATTAGAAAAAA